TCCACTTGGCCACCACCACCACCAGCACCACCACCAACACCACGATCGCTACCGTCTTTGTCGTATAATATTTGATACTGTTAATTCTAGTCTTTTTAATGTTGTTAACGTTGTCTTCACTGCTACTGCTACTGCTGTTGTTGTTGTTGTTGTTGTTACTATGGTTAACCGTAGAATTTGAAACGTTGACGTTGACGTTGACGTTTTCGTTGTCGTCCTTGTTGTTTTTCTCGTAATCGTCACCCTTCTTCCACTTCTTATAACATTTTGTCTATTGTTCTCTTCTATTCCTTAACAAGATTGACAATGTTCATTAAAAATTCTTTCTTTAGACGATATTATGATTATTCTTATTATTTAACGTTAAAACACGATGTATTGAGAAGGGGGTAAGGGGGTGGGTGGTCTATGGGTGTATCTAACCGATCGATATTATTCCTCTGTTCCGGGTAGTCGATTTAAAAAACTATCGGTCTGCTGTTGTATTAGTCGAATGCACCCCGTTAGTATACCTAGTACACCGATTGTTTGGAATGGCGGATTGAACGGGCACGCACGGCTCCGGCATCGTGTGGTAAAAATGGCCGCGACCTGACCGCACATATATATGTACACACACACCACACACACAACATACACAGAAAGAGAGAGATACGCACACACACATACACACGCAAACTAGACTATTTTATAAATTAACTATTAAAAACACCTCTTCTTTTCTAACTACACAATTTTGTTATTATTAATATTATGTATGTATGTATGTATGTATGTATATATATATATATATATTTCTCTCTCTCTTTCTCTCTCTATCTCTGAATATTTTTATCTTTCTAATCTTCTTATTCTTCTTTTCCTATACACAAAACTCCGTTATACTTCCTCCGTGTGTTCCTTTACTGTCTCTCTTTTCTCTAACTTAACTAAGTGAGAAAGAGAGAGAGAGAGAGAGACAAGAGTCAGATACAGAAGTAACAGACAGACAGACAGATAGACAGAGAGACACTGGACAGACGATATCAATGTCCCCCCCCTTTCTCTCTGTGACGTTTTACTTACGGACAACTATCGGTTGCCCGTTTGTTCTTTCAGATCGGTTCAATCATATTTTTTGGTTGGTTTGTTTTCCCCTCAAACTAACTTGGACACACGTTTTCCCGATCTTCCGTCACGGGCTCAAATTGATATCTGACGACAGACAGCGCCGGCACACGCCCCGAATTACGCGCGAACGACCCTAACGTTCGGGATTTTAAGCGCTGCTGTTGCTTTTACTGCTACTTCTGCTTATGCTGCTGCTGCTGCTGCTGCTGCTGCTGATGTCGTTGTCGCTGCTGTACTCTTGTGGTCTACTACTCTTCTGTCTTCTTCTTCTTTCTTCACCTTTTCAACCTCCACCTCCTCCTCCTTTTCTTGCTGCTGCTGCTGCTGTTCCTGAACCTCCTCCTCCACCACCACCACCTCCTCCTCCTCTTCCTCTTCTACTTCTTCTTCTTCTTCCTCCTCTTCTTCTTGCTCCTCTTCTTCCTTCGTTACACGACTATGCATTTCTGTCATCCACCTCTTATCTTCTCTCTCTTCCTACTACCGACTGGGTTGTCATCTCACTCTGTTTTACATTCACTTGGTTGTTCTTTCTTTCTTTCTGTCTGTCTTTATTTCTTTCTTTATCTCACTCTATTTCTGTCTGTCTGTCTCTGTTTAACTCTCTCTTTCTTTCTTTTTCTATTACTCCCTCTCACCCTCTCTTATATCAACTTTTTCTCTTTGATCTCTCACTCACACTTTTAGGGTTTTTGTAGGTTTCTTTCTAACTTGGTAACACGACGCAATATGGCGACCGTGCAATATGCTATTAGTTCAACATTTTGTCGCAATTGTCGCTGTCTGTTTCCTAGTTGTTCGTAGGAAAGATTTACATTTACGTAAAGTTAGGTTTATTCTAACCTTTAACTGTTCTACGTTTTTATTGGTTGAGAGAGAAAATCGTGGAAAGTTTGGAATTTTGTCCAATTATATTTTAGTTCGATTGATTCTGATTGGTTAGTTAATTAGAAGCTTTTAGAATTGATTTTTAAATATTTGTATTTTCAAATATTATTCTTATACGTTAGATTTGAATATAAGAAAAAATTTTGGAAATTATTTAAAAATGATCAATAATAATAATAATTATAAATTGCTGTATAAATTTCATTTGAAAATATTCTTTTAATTGTTGTATTGTTAGAATAAAAATTAGATTATAGGATTAATTTTATTTAATATATGTCAATATAAATATTGTTATCGTTATCGTAAATGATATGGCAATCCTTCTACAAAGTTCTTCCTTATCGACGTAAGGTAATGAAATCATTTTATTGATTCAATGAACGGCGCCACATAATTGATAACACTTTTTTCTAATGTTAATTTATTAATTGTTAATAACAAATAATATACATTATTTAAAAAATAATTAGAAAAAAGTATTAATAACACGTATAATTGAAATTTACTTTTTTAAGAAACACTTGTAAAAAAATATTGTAAATATTTTAGAGGAAAATACTGTAAAAGAAGATTAAAAAAAAAAATTAAGAATAATTTTTTAATATTCTTTAATAATTAATAAATTAATTAATTATTCATATGTATATATAAATGTACATAATTTAATATACATATATTACTGTAAATTACACTTATTATTTACTTCATATATATATATATATTACTATTAAATAAAAAATTTATAGATTATAAATAAACAAATTTTATTCTATATAATAAATATAATTTTGAACAAAATAATTTATTTTTTAATATTTAATTATTACTTGTTACTGTTTAAAATAAATAAAAATTCTCCGAACTTTTTCCTGTATTTTTGATTTTTTATCAAACGAGAATAAGATATTTCCCATAATATAACAGCATGGAAATTATGTGTTTTTGATATTAGTATTGCATTTAACCAATCGGATGCAACCTTATTAGAATAAATTTATTTTACAGAAATTGAATGAACATATGTTAAATAAAAAAAAATAAAAAAAATTGGTAAAACCGTTTTATGGGGAATAAAAAAAAAACAAAATTTTTTACATCAATTGAGTGAACATATTTTAAAATAAAAAAAAAATAAAAATACAAGAAAATAGGTAAAATCGTTTTACAGTGAATAAAAAGACAAATGTTCAAGATTCGTGTCAATTTCGCTCGACCATTTTTGGTTGTCCGTACAAACTCGACGAATCCTTATTGGTAAAACTCGTCTTTTCTACTTTGAAGATGTGGGTCACCAACTTGTCTACCTACATACATATAAATATTTGTGTACTTTGTACTGCATTCAGCAACATCATCAGTACCAACTACAGTAACTCAAGTTTTTCTTACATATCTTCTTCTTTTTTAGTTTTTACTCAAAAGAATATTTCAAGGTCATTATTCGAATTTTACAATTCCTTTATTTTCCTTTTCACACTTCTTTAATAACAAAAGAAAAATTCCTGACCATTTCATCGGTCACGGAATCATCTTCAAATTCATCCATTGTTAACATTTCTTTTCTCATACCTGTCATTTAAAATTGACAGTTTATTTAGGTCAAGAATCAAATATCACAGACCCGTTTTTCTTTTTAGAAAAGAAAATACTAAAAAAAAAGGATATCTCTGTTAGCAGTTCATAAATTCGAATCTTTGATAAATTCTTCACACGTTTTATCGTTCATATTTGTTCCCAATAAACATCTTCAAACGTGTGTATGTGTGTGTGTGTGTGCGTGCGTGTCGTGTGCGTGTGTTTTGACTTTCGAGATACAATATAATATCGTTTTTTTTTTTTTTCTAATCATAAGATAAATCTTAAATAAAATTGTTTACTAACGAAACAAATATTTCAAACAAATTTCAATCTCTTATCGATTTTTACAAACACAGAATTCGTAGAAAAAAAAATTGTTATAATCTAATGTAAACGTAAAACATATTTCTAATACATACTTTGTTACTTTTCCTTTTATATGTGGCAAATATTAAAATATCGGAAGACTTTGAACTGAGAAAGAAAGAAAGAAAGAAAAGAATAAGGAATTGTTAAAGATATTTACAATTCTTTTTGCATTGCGTCAGAACACAGGATGTAATTAATGTTAATGAATGATTGTTTTTATTATATATGCCATTAGTCGTTGTTTCGAATATAAATTCTTCATTGACTATTGCACATTTTTTTTCAGTCTGTGTACCAATTTTTTTTTTTTTATTTAACAAAATAATTGAAATGGGTAAAGTTTTAATTATTATTTATTTTTTATTAATATGTTTTATACTAAAAATATATAATAATATATAATATATTTATTAATAATATATCAACATTATAATTATATTATATATATATATATATATATATATATATATAT